CTGCTGCCTTAACTGTACAGTTATTGTTCTGAGACATGAGGTCTTTGTCCGTGTGTGACAGGATATCAGATACTGTGTTATTAGAAACACGTCCATTGTTGTTATTGAGCTTTATTAATATCACCTGATCATCTGTGGAGGAGGAAGTGAAACTGGCTTTCTAACAGTGTTTCCTACATGACCTTCTGTGTATCGTTTCCAGTATGAACATAAACTGAACAAAGACAAGTAAACACGCTGACATCATCAGAAAGAGACGGACTGAACCAGGTGACACAGCTGATTCATGAGGCGAGCTCTGTGCTCCGAGCGCCGACGCCACAGAAGCAGGACGATGAACTACACAGACTTTAAATAATAATAAGATGAAGGCTGAAGTCAGACTGAGGTCGCAGCATCACAGGCTGCTGAGTTCAATCTGTGAACTTAATGAGATTTTCTAAGGGGGGAGGTCGTCCAGCGACCCCCACACTAGCACCCCGTACTCGTGACCTCCAGCCCTTCGAGGGCCGCGAGAGTCAGAGGAGGATGATATGTAGATGAGGGCTGGGGGGTTGGTACTCGTCTCCAGCCTGCGCGACCCACCTTCTGCTGCTATTGTTTAACTGCTGCCCCTGAACTTCACACGTCCCCCACCATCCCCCCCTCCCCCACCATCCCCCCCAAAGCCCAGAGTTTATATACAAACACACAATCAAAGTTTGGCCTCCAAACACTGACAACATTTTACTGGGTGTGACTGAAGATCAGGGTTTAGGAACGGTTCCCCTCAGATGCTAAACATGAACCTGCTGAGGCCTTTTAGCTTCATCACAGTGAAGCAGACATAACATCCACAGTGCACTGCAGCTGCTGCTGTGATTAAATACAACTTCAAACCCTTGAGTTTGCATTTAAACTTTTCCAATGTTGTTTAAAATGTGAGGCCAAAAGAGATGTTGGTGGATGGAGGAGTCCATCACTGAGGCAGAGGGTGACACGTGGTGCAGTAAGAGCTCTGAGTGCATATAAGGACCAACATCAGCAACAGCAGGAGATGAGCAGAGAGAGTCACAGAGCAATCCACAGTTCAGCAAAACAACCTCACAGCGTTTAACGAGTGAGCATCGGTGTCGACGTCAATCAAAAGGCTCTCATACAACCTCGGTGGAGTCCTGAAACTCCCCTCAGTGTCTAAACCGTGCAGTGGGTTTCAAAGTTAGCATCAGATAAATATTGATGAAGCTGCTGAGGTTACCTACGTGCAGCCTGATCCTGAGCCCTCTGCATTCACGGGGTCGATTTTTAATAGGAAGCCAATCAATAAGCTTCAGCTTGGAGTCACATTTGATGAGCTTTGTGTTCACACATGAAGGCTGCAGCAAGCTTTGTTTACTCCAACACAGCATCAGACTGAACATGATGAGGATGCACCTCTACAAAATAAAGGCATTCTTTGAAATCAGGAGACTTGAAATACTCAGGAATCTCCTGCTTGTCCTGCTTCGTGTTATAAACACAAACAGAAATGCAGTGACGTGTTTCAGCTTCAGCAGCTTCCTTCACATCTGTGGATATCTAAACGTTGTGTTTGTAGACAGGAAGAGATATTTTACTGTGAAAGGGAGGATTAACTGACAAGAGGTACGTGTC